GTGAGAAGTTTCACACTACTCTTCGCCATAAGAGCAATATTCATGGATCTAGCTTTGCGTATTCTTAATCCTCCCAATTATTTGGAGCAGCAAACTTTATTCCAGCTGACCAGGTGATTATGGGCGTATTCTGTGTATCATCACCATAAGAAATTGATGTTTAGTCTATCCAGTTTCTTACAAACAGAGATTGGGAGCATGGTTGTTTGCATCGAATGAATTGGAATAGTCGTTGAGACTGTTTGAATGAGTGTTCTTCTTCCTGCAATGGATAAAACCCGTCTTTTCCAACCCGTTAACTTCCTCATGACTTTGTCGATAAGGGAGCATATGTTCCTGAATTAACCCTTTTATGCATTATTGGAACTCCCAAATAGGTTCCCAAATTATCCGTAAGGGGAATACCTCATAAGTCACTTAAGTGTTGAGCCATATTTGTATTAATATTTGGGGAGATAAAGATTTTTTATTTAAGAAGGTTTACCTTAACTCTAGCTGCTTGGTTGAATTCGTTTATAAAGTTCCTCTTGTTCTGCATTTGATCCGAGTTGGCTTCTACAAACAAAAGTAGATCATCAATGAAGAATAATTGACTAAGCTTAATTCCCCCTCTTGCACTTTTGAAAGGTTTCCATGTGCCCCTTTCTTTTTTCTCCATGATCATGTGAGAAAGCCTTTCCATAACCAGAATAAACAATTATGGCTATAGCGGATCACCCTGTCAGAGGCCTTGCTTAGGATTCAAGCACTCGGTGATTTCCCTGTTCCACAGTGGTTCGATTATACTCGACATAATGCAAAACATAATGACTTTTATCAACTTTCCAGGAAAGTTAAAGTCTTGAAGAGTTTTCTTAAGAAATTCCCAGCTAACATTGTCATAGGCCTTTTAGAGGTCAATTTTAGCGATAACCACACCCTTACATCCTTAAAGATTCATCATGGAGTGGACCGCCTCCTGAACAATTAAGATATTATCTGATGTGCTTCTTCCTTTAAGGAAATTGTTCTGGTAGGGGCTGATCAATCTTTGTAGAAGAGGAAACAATCGATAAACAATGATCTTGGAAAATATTTTATAAGCCATGTTCAGTAAACTAATTAGGCGAAATTGAGTGATGTTATCAGCCGCGACATGCTTTGGTATAAGCACTATAAAGGTTCTTATGATTTTTGTTTCCATCCTCCCCAAATCCAAAGCCATATTAACAAAATCACAAAGGGTGTTCTTGACAGTATCCCAATTCTGTTTATAGAATATGGGTGAATGCCATCTGGACCTGGAGCTTTCAGCCCATACATAGAGAACAAAACTTCTTTAACCTCTTCCATTGTGGCATGTTTAATAAGTTCGGTCTTCTCTTCTTCATTTAATCTGGGCATGAATCTGTCGTAATTCATAGAGAGTTGTACATACTCTTTCCCAACGAACAAGTCTTTGTGGTAATTACACACATGATGGCACAAGGTTTGTTTATCAATTATCCAATCGTTCCCAATGTACAGACCAACTATTTTATTATATCTACGCCTTAACATAGTAGTAAGATGAAAAAAACTTCGTGTTCATTTCGCCTTTCAAAATCCATTCCAGTCTAGATTTTTGAAACCAAAGGATTTCTTCCTGAGTCAATGCTTGTTGATAGTCAGATTCAAGGACCTTCTCCAATTCTTGTAGGAAAGTTGAATAGAAGTAGTTAGGATATCTTTGGATGCCTTGTATTTGTTTGATCAAGGCTTTCTTTCGTTTAAAGATGTTCCCGAAAGTAGTGTCCTTCCATTTTATGATCGCATTTTTTACTTCTTCTACCGCATCAACAAGAGAATTTTTATTTTTGTCCCAGGATGAACTAAAAACCATATTAAACTCTTCATGAGTAAGCCAAACAACTTCAAATCTAAATGGACATTTTTCTTTGTCTATAGGAATCTCCAATTCCGTGTCTACCAGTATCGGGTTGTGGTCAGCATAAACTCTAGTAAGGGTAACAACTCTGAGATTTGGAAAGAAATCAACCATATCAATATTATAAAGTATTTGGTCGAGTTTTTCGTGTAGAATAACACTCCATCAGATTACATCTATTCCAGTTGTCTCGAAATTTTAGTATTCGATCCATACAATCCGAGTTGCTGCCTACACGCTCATCCAACGTGGCAAAATCATTAAAATCTCCCACAATCATCCAAGGCTGGTCAACATTTATAGAATAGTTGTAGATATCCTCCCAAAATTCGTATTTCTTTATCGAAAGAGGTTGAACATAGGCAGTGGAGAGTAACCATCTCTTACCATTCTCTTGTATATCGTAGTGAATAACATGATTAGTATGATGCTGGATTGTAACCTCATGAAGATTAGTGTTCCAAAGAATAATCAATCCTCCCCGAAGGCCCTGAGCAGGGACCTCAAAGTGGGTATCAAATTTCAATTTCTTCTTAAGCGAAGAACCAGGTACCTGCTTTAGCTTTCGTTTCAAGGAGGCAAATAATGGTTGGGTTTTCATCCCGAATCAATTCTCTACAATTTCTAATAAAATCATTGTTTCCTACACCTCGTCAGTTCCAAGAGATCAGTTTCATTCAGGTAGATTATTATTTGTATGTGCCTCTATGGCCATCGTCTCGTTTATCCTTACTATGTTTTCCTGGCCAACTGGTTCGGCTTCCATATCTAGAGCATCCTAATTATCTTGTTGAATGGTATCATTTTCAACGTCCATTGAGATTTTATCATGCTTTCCCATCATCTTTTCCACTTCCATATTTGATTCCAGAACATTACTTTGGTTACTCTCCCTTCTATGATTATTCCCTTGAGTTCTACCCTGATTATCTCTTTTAGCATTCAAGATAGGAGATTGAGGTTTATCGTATCTTGTCCTAGATTTCCCTTCTCCTGAGCTCCCTGCCAAATTGTTGCCTTTAATTCTATTGTTACTTTCTTCTCGTCTGGTAGGCTTCTTTTCCTTTGTGGATGTTTCAGTCTCACTAGTATTTTCCTTTATTTCTTGAGATCGACTTTTATCCTCTTTTCCATTATTGGTTTCTTCCTCATCAATGATGTTCAAACTGTCAAACCTGTTGTTTTGGCGTAATTCTTGGTTTCTACTTTTTTGATTCTTCGGGTTAATTCTAGATCCACGCTGTCTCCTTTGAACCAACATCCAAGGTCCGTATCTGTCCTGGGTTACCTCTTTCTCTTCTTGTTGAATTTTCTCATTTTCTTCATCTTCTTGCATTTCTTGTTGGTCTTGATTCTTTGTTTCTCTGTTGACTTCCCTAGTACTGTGATTTTCCTTCTGATTAGCTAGAAAATCAGTGGCTCTATGACCCACAACACCACACTTGAAACAAATAAAATGCAGACCCTCATATTCGATAATATAGACTCTATTTCCTATACGCACTTTAGACAGTAAAGGAGTATTAAGGTCGATTTCAAAACATATTCTTACAAAGCGTCCTCTTGTTGACCAAGCTGTATGGTAATCAATTTTCAAGGGTTTTCCAATTAGTCTTCCTAAATTACACAAAACACTTTCCTCAATTCAATTGGGAGACCAGGGATATGGATCCAGACTACCGTGGAGGGAATACTTGCATTTGCTGCCACGAAATTGGGACGCCATCTTTGAACCGTGATGTAGTGATCCATTATCTTCCAAGGGCATTCCATAAGGACTTTTGCTCTATCCACCATGTTTTGGAATTTGATTGCATAAACCCATAGCCAAGATCAATACAATCGAACTCATCCTCTAATTTCCACAGGTTAGTTACCCTGCCGATAAGGGTTTTGTAAGCCACAGTTTTTCCCAGAATCTTGATAATGAGCGCTTTTCTCCAAGGTTTTCTCAGTTTTTCTTTTAATTCTTGAGGGATCTTGATTGTCGGAATATCATCCCCTTCGCAATCTTCCTCTTCATCTGAATCTTCATCTTCAACTTCAATTGAAACTTGAAAGTTACCCAGCAGAAGAGAGGGGCCTATTACAGTATCCCTCTATGATTTTCTTGGAGCCTCTTCTTCAGAAACGCTATCACCTTCCGTTGTTCGGATTCTTTTGAACTTCCGTTCCACTTTTCCTCCCCCTTCCACCGCCTGGGTCACCCCGGTGACCGGCGAAGACTCTTCCTGCATAGGAACAAAACGACGATCTCGAAAGAAAGAAAAACAAATCCCCTTGTTTATAAGATGAATTCTTCTCTTATACAAAATTTATATAATAATAAATAAACATATAATTATGATACTTAATGTTAATATAAAAATTTAATTTAAAAATAATCACGTCAATTTTAGATATGAGAAAAATTTAATTTAAATTTAAATTAATTTAATTTTAAAACATGTTAATAAATAATTTAATTAATTCAAATTTAAATATTTAATTTTAAACATAAATATTACAATATTATTAATGATATATATATTTATAATCCAGTTTTAAGAATTAAAATTAGAACAATTTTTCTATATAATTTTATATTTCAGATAATTTAAAGTTTGTTGCGGCGTTGAGGCGCAATTTATAGCGTATTGCGGTGTTATATAACGGTTTTTGACCGCAACAATAGTAATACGATTCCTTTATCGCGTTGTGCCGATATTGCGTAGCGGTAACCTTAAAAAACGTTACGATGCAGGCGTTATGCTACATTGCGGACGTAATTTAGTACTATGCAGTGCATCCCTGAAATAACAATTTCTTCCGGGACGCGATGCCATCCCTCTTTAAGTTCCTACAAGACAAAGACCATTTACTTTATAATCTTTTCTATTTTCCTTTGGCTTTTCAAACAATTTGAAGCTAACAGAAGCAATATCCCATGTAAAATCTGGAGTAGTTTCTCTTACCAAATGCGGACTGAGTATTGAGGAAGCGACTCACTGAGCAGAAAAGCTTCCAGTTTTTGGTTAAAAATTCAACTCCGCAGGCATCCTTAAACATCCGTATGATAAATCTTTTTTGGTGAAATATTTGTAGTTACTTTGTTCACTAGTGCTTATTGTACCCCACATTTGCATCCTCAATAGTGACCGTCTCCCTCAATAAATACCCTGGTAGAGGGGCGTGTGTCCTCCATACTTCGCCATACCTTTCCTCCACTAATTTCCTTTTGCATTTTCCGAATTAACAGCTCTCTTGACGTTTTCTCATGGAGACTACCACCAATGGAACATCTTTCAGTAACCAGAAGTTCACATCCCCTGCAGTGAGTGATGTCGAGCAACAACAAGCAACCATGGAACTCGAACCTACTACCGACTTCAACTACTCAAAACGATCGCAATGGCTACGAGCCGCCATTCTAGGCGCAAACGACGGGCTTGTCTCCACCGCATCGCTCATGATGGGTGTTGGCGCAGTAAAGCAAGACATTAAAGCCATGATATTAACCGGTTTTGCTGGTTTAGTTGCAGGGGCATGCAGCATGGCCATAGGTGAATTTGTCTCGGTGTATTCGCAGTTGGATATAGAATTGGCCCAGATGAAAAGAGATAAGCAACGAGATGAAAATAGACAAACGTCAGACGAAGAAGAAGAAAAGGGAAAAGAAGGTGAAAAGGAGTCATTACCGAACCCTTTACAGGCATCGGCAGCTTCAGCCCTAGCATTCTCGGTGGGCGCAATGGTTCCATTGCTGGCCGCATCGTTCATAAAGGAGTATAATGTGAGGGTAGGTGCAGTGATTGGTGCAGTGAGCTTGGCTTTGCTGGTTTTCGGATGGTTGGGAGCCATGTTAGGGAAAGCACCGACTGTGAGGTCTGCGGTTCGGGTCTTGATTGGAGGGTGGCTAGCCATGGCTATAACCTTTGGGTTAACCAAGTTGATTGGATCAAGTGGGCTCTGAGCTTCCTTTTTCAGCTTAGCCCTTTTGGCTAATCTGAGTCATGGAACTGTAACCATGTTTTTGTCTGATATTAATATTTTCTGCTTTTTTTTCTTTCCTGGACGCAGTATTTGTAGACGTCGCTCTGTAAGAATATATACATAAATATATTTGTTCAACCAATATATATTAAAACTGTTTTAAACGTAATTTCTTAAGAATGATGGCATAGATTGAATTAAGCTAGAATTCCAATACATATAACTTGAACAACACACGAACTTGAGGACAATATCAAAGTGTAAATGTTATTGTCAGCATCGTCATGTGCATATTTAGTAGTGTGGTCAAGTGGATGAATGGAAGAAAAAGGGAAAGTAAATCTTCTCAAAAAGACACGAAATTCGCAGGAGACACGGCGGTAGTAAAGGGGAAGACGATGCTTTTTTTGGGTGGTGGATTCTCATGCACTATACGAAACCATTTCTAAAAGAAGAGCTTATCCATGGGGGCCTTATATGTGTTAGTAGATAGTGAAGTAATAAGCCAATAATTTAGGTTTTCCTTTCGTCTAAAACCAACTCCAGTGGCCAATCATTCAGGATGCATGCATGGCAGAAGCACGACAGCAAAAACAATGTTCAGACAACAGTTTCGGAGCTTCCATAAATCCCCCCAAATGGATTTGTAGTAAGTCTACTTTGCCCACTGTGTCGTTTTTGTGCTGAAAGCTCGGGACGGTGTTTATTTTGCTGCCGGCTTTTCATCTGTCGATCTCTAGGGCCATGTACATATTGGGTTTGGGGTACACTTGTGGGTAGATATAACAAGTATTAAGTCCAGGAAAGCTTTTAGGTGTACCTTGAACCAGTGCAATGCACAACTAGGGTGCATCCCTTTTTGATTTCAGTCAAATTACGTACATGTTACGTACATGGAAACTAGGGTATCCATGCACAACTGTCTTTCATTAACTCGAACGCATATACGACATCTGTCATACTCATAGCAAGGATACTATCTATTGAAAATCATTTTCTTTTGGGAGGATTTTAATGAGATAAAGTAATTTCATTTTATCTGTACTAAATGACGAATGTATGATGTGCAGAGAGGTCCAGCATAAAAATGCTGTCCGTTTCATTGGTGCATGTACAAAATCTCCACATTTGTGTACAGTAACAGGTATGTTTCATCTACAAATTAAAAAGTCTCTTTCGTTAAAGTAGGGCTTCTTTTTCATTATGGGGCTGTCTAAAGATCTTTCAGAGTGTGGCCTTAAATCGTGACTACAACTAAATGAATTTATATATTCGATAGCAAACAGAAGCTTCCAATTCCCCTCTAGAGCACTCACCATTCACTTACTGTTTCAACTTTACTAAGCTTTTTAATTTCAAATAGAAACTCCTCTAGAGGCAAATGACCTCTAGGAAGCCATGGAAGAAGACTACGAAATTTCTCCATTATCTTCCTTTTTAACTATGAGTCTGTGACACAAATCAAGAATTACAAAGAGAAAAACAAAATCAAAGACGAGAGCTACATTATACACCGTAATCTCACCTGAAAACTTCCTCGTAATCATGAAAATGAAGTCAAATTTTAAAGTCTAAAAATCCTTGAAGGAGTACAAAGGAAATGAAGGATCAAAGGAATGAAAACTTTGAATTTGATTAGAGAGTTTAAATTTCAGAAGATGAAAGATTATGAGATGGTAAAAGAGTATTTTGATAAATTATTCGGAATTATAATCAAACTATACATTTTTCCTGAATAGGTGTCTAAAATATTTTTTGGACTATCAGATGTCTAACATTACAAACATGACCACTTTAGGTGCTCGGACCGTCAACGGCATTAATTTCCTCCGTTAAGTGATATGTGTCACAATATGATCATTTTAAAAATTTTATATAAATTAAAAAAAATAAAATTATACATTTTTAAAAAATAAAAAACATAAATTTTGAAATAACCCTTAAACTTTGAAAACCTTCATTTCAACCATTGAAATGAAGCTCCACCCGACCTCACCTCCCCCGACGATCAATACCCTATGAAATCGTGACCGATTGATGGTCGATCGACGACGAATCTACGTTTTATATCCCGTGAATCCTAGGATGAAAATCGGGATCCCACACAATTCATACTTCCAATCGGCGACAACTACAACGACATATAACTAGAATGATGATAAAGACTACGATGGAGGCGATGGTCGTGGTCGGAAAAGGTGCCGACAACGGATTAGTGTTAGGATTTGGAGATTTTAGGGATTTTGAGGGTTTTTTGTAATTTAAAAGATATTATTTTTTATAAATATAATAATATTTTTTTGAAAAAATAAATTTCAAAATTATCAGATTGTGACACGTGTCACTTAACGGAGAAAACTAATAACCGTTACGTCCCGGACACCTAAAGTGTTCACGTTTGTAACTTTGGGCACCTGGATGTTCCAAAATATATTGTTGGCACATATTCAGAAAAAAGATATAATTTGGACACTTATTTAGGTATTAAGCCTTCAAAATACTCTTCTAACTAAAAGTCTGAAGCTATCATTTCTACTTAGAAAACACTAAAAATCTGTCAAAGGTTAGTTTGAGAGAATTGATGAATTCTTTTTGCTCGATACAATTGAGGAGGAATAAAATCTGATTTCCCTCCTTGTTAACACTGTAGAAAGAAGGGACATCCACCTTTCAAATGTCTCAAAGTTACCTTGAACAAATCACTGTTTTGTTAAATATGTAAATGACAATGATGTATTAAGGTAAAAATGACAGGAAAGAGTTCTGCACTTGATTCATTAGAGGAGTAAGTCGTGTTCTTTGTAACAAAAAATTGCTGATGACTGCAAGCATGCAGATGAAATTATCCTTCATGGGAGTGTTAGTGCTGAGCCTTTGAAATTTACAATTGAAATTCAAGATCCTTTTGGTAGTCCTTCGAATCATTTGGCCATTGCAAATGAATTTTCGAAAACTAATATATCTTATTGCAGTGATAAGTTACTTATAGACGTTTGACCTGATGATGCACGAACCAAACGACTTTAGTGATTAAGAGATAATTAATCATTGTAGTTATAAGTTAATAATATGATCTTTTGATTCCAATTTCTAATCCCGTCTTAAAGCTTAATTTGATGTTTAAAATATTAAATTTAGATATTAAATTAAAAAAATACATTAAAAAAGTGTCATCTAAGTGTAGATATTTCAAAGTATTTAATCCAATAGTGGTGAAACGTTGTCAATTTCAAACAGTTAAGTAGATTTGTATGACGTGTGGCTTAAAATGCTATTATAATGGGCAATAGCATAAAGCAAATAAAAAGAATGTTGAAGAAGAGCTAACTAATCCGCAATAAGATGGATCGGAGAAAATGATTGGTGGAGACTATTATAAACATTCATCAACTTCGTTAATCATGATACAGAGTTAGTCAAGATGTGGCCCTCAATCTCAACCAAACCTTCACCTTCCATAAATTTTTTTTATTAATATGAGTAAGTTTAAGATATTATTTGTTCAAATATAATTTTTAATCATTTGATGTTGAACATTCAACTCTTGACATTTATAGTGCTTTAATCGGGAACTTCAAAGAATAATAACAATTCTTTTATCACTCAGATCGTTTGATTCGTGCATACATATTAAATATTAAATTTATCATCATATTTAGTATTGATACGATAGTATAAGTTTTGCGAACATGCATCTGCCTGGCTTCAGGGAAAATATATAATTTTCATCATAATGTCGTAATCAAATGTTGCAAATTAGTGTGTAATTATTCGCCCGATCTTTTTTCATTTGTCCTTGATGTAAAATGAAAATGATATAGAAAGTGATGAGTAGAGGTAAGGGAATGGAAGAAAGCCATATAGAAGAAGTCTGAAAATAAAATAATATTTGCTGCCTTAAACTCCTGTGGGGTTGTAGAGTTGGTGAACTTAATTTGTCATTGTTTAAACAAAAAGTGGCTAAAATACTAGTGATTTTCATGCCATTGATTAGCGTTACTATCACAAGTTCGTATTCAGGTCCGATATGTCCATTCGATCAATCAAATTGCTCATTCTCTCGTACAGTGATTTTTTTTATCGAATCCGTCCATTTATTTTGATTGTGTCTGTCCTAATTCTCTAATTCTTTAACTGATCATATTATAAACGATGTTCTTAATGATTTTATATCAGTACTTATTTCCTTCAAAAGAAAAACATCGGTGTATAAATCAAATTAAATGATGTTATTTCATTAAAAATAATTTACTTATATTTAAATTTATAATTTAAAAAAATTATTATTTTTTAGAGATTTTAAATTCGAATAGTATTTAAGGTGAGTGTATTTTCAATTATTAATAAAAAATTGTAAATATATACTATCTTATAATCATTTTAAACTATTCAAAATACATTATACTCTTAAAAATCTATAAAATTTAACTAAAGAATGATAAATTCAAAGAAAATCCAATAAAATAACTGATGTAATAAACTTAATATATAATATTTAAACGTAAAATATAATATTTCCTCCAACATTGTCTGTCCAAAGAATAATAATTCATAGAATTAATGATAATTACAATTTAGTTTGACCATGAAATGTTTGGGTCAAAGGAGACCCTTCCCATCCTGATTAGGATACCAGGACTTATTTAATTATGTGGATCCCACCGTATCGGATTGTGTTCGCAATATTGTGATCTTTAAACATCAAATTATAAATAATATTAATATATAAAAAATTAAAAAAACAAAGTTAATTACACTTACAGTCCTTCATCTATTTGTAAAATTACGTTTTTATCGTTCAATTTTAAAATTGATGTTTATCATTAGATTAATCGTTCAATAATATTTGAGTCATCACATCATCAATAATTATTATTGTTTTAGAAGTATTATTTTGTCTATTCTTTTAATTGAATTGATAAGGTTATAAAATTAATAAAAGTTTTTCATTAATTATTTAATAATATTATATGTTAACATCTCAAATATAATACCTTGCTAAGTTGAAATAACTTAAACATTTGGTGGTAGAATTTTCAATTCTATAGATAAGTAAATGTGCAGCACAATTTTTTCTCTTTTTGCTCTTCCACAAAAATTTCTGATAATATATTTGCTTTATATATATATATTCGTGAGGGAATAAACAAAACTTTCTATTTTGACAAAATAAAATTAAACTTTAACAAACTAAGTGTACGAAACGAATTAATTCAGATTAGTCCAGACGAAACCTTAGGAAATCAAAATGACGAAAATGAAAAAAAGCTAAACGTTTTATTAAGAAAGCCTTTATTTTTATTACGGATCAACCCATGGTTTTACATAAAGGATGGAAAAGAAAAACACATAAAATGTAGGAAACATTTTTTAGGTAAGCAGAAAGAAATACGCAAGCCAGTGAATAATACATATCAAATACATGAAAACGATGAACCTTCTTTTCTCATATTGAGTTGACCGTACTACTACTTGTCTACAATATTATTATCATTCTTTTTCTTCTCTTCAAATGCGGACTCTAGGTAGGCTACCTTTCCCGCTCACTCTCTCTCACTTTATTGGATCACACTCTTGTGTTCTCCTGCAACAACATGTTTTTTTTTTCTTTTGGGTTATTGAACTTGTTAAAATCATAAAAAATGTGAAAGAATGATCCTTGAAGAGATGCAAAAATAAATGTAGGTTACCTTTTGTGCGGTCGGAGCCGATGCTTAGTAGTTGTAAGGAGGAGGTGGCGATGAGTAGATATAATGATGGGGTGTTGGTGGAGGAGGAGACTTGTGATAGTGAACTGGAGGAGGAGGAGGGGGAGGAGACTTATAAACCGGAGGAGGTGGGGGTGGAGACTTGTACTTGTAAGGATGCTTGGGTGGTGATGGTAGGGGTGGTGGAGGAGACTTATATTTGTAAACTGGTGGTGGTGGGGGCGGGGACTTGTATTTACAATGGTGCTTGGGCGGTGATGGTGGAGGTGGAGACTTGTCCTTGTAAGGGTGCTTGGGTGGTGATGGTGGTGGTAGAGACTTGTACTTGTAAGGGTGCTTAGGTGGTGATAGTGGTGGTGGAGACTTGTTCTTGTGAGGGTGCTTGGGTGGTGGTGGAGGAGACTTATACTCGTAAGGTGGTGAAGGATAATGTTCCTGTGGAGGAGGAGACTTATACTCATAAGATGATGGAGGTGGTGGTGGAGACTTATAAACATGAGTTGGTGGTGGGGGAGGAGACTTATACTTGTAAGGCTCCTTGGGTGGCGGCGGAGACTTGTAGGGATGCTTGGGTGGTGATGTTGGTGGTGGTGGAGGAGACTTATACTTGTAAGGGGGGTGATAATGAATCGGTGGAGGAGGTGGAGACTCATAAACAGGAGTCGGTGGCGGGGGATGAGACTTGTAAGGTTCTTTGGGTGGAGGTGGCGACTTGTGCTTATGTGGTGATGGTGGCGGTGATGGTGGGGACTTGTACTCATAAGGAGGTGTGGGATAATGCACTGGTGAAGGAGGTGGTGGAGGCTTATTGTAGACACTTAATTTTGTCCGGCTACTATAATTATATAATTTGTATATATTATATTATATATATATATATATATATTATTTCATTACATATTGCATCTCATTCTTTTTTTATTTTATTTTTTGCAGACTCAAAGCCACTATAACACTGGCCCACGATGGACCCATATCAGACCAAACAGTGGTCCAGCCCGAACCATTACGCGTAACCCTAACCCCAGTTCCAGCATCGCGTGCTTCATCCCAACTCAGTCAACTGTCGCTTTTCACGGCAACACGCACCATTCCCGGATTTCTCGACAACACTAAACCAATTATCAACAAACAACAACGTTAGCCGAGTGTTTCACTCGAAATTAGATACCTAAAAATAGGTTGTTATTAAGTTATAAATAAGAGGGTGGTCTGGAACAACAAGGGGGGAGATACGAGGAACACCGAACAAGAAACGGTGACGAGATTCGAACCCATCGGAGAAAAAACAAATCGAAAAGCAAGAGGGAAGCATTTCGAGGGAAGCATTTCGAGCGAAGCAAAAATCAACCATTCAGGAACCATTTTCCAGAGGAAAAATACAAGAGATAGGAAAAGCATTCGAAACTAAAAACCGACAAAAGAACCAGAGGTTACCTCGCTCTCAACTGGAACCGTGGCCACTGGCACCATTTCATCGGACCAGAAACCTATCATTTTTTTTAAGGTCTCAATAGCAGTTGTGGAGCTTTACAATAGCGTTCTTTCCACGTCGATGTGGCCGTGCTCTTGGACAATGAAGCGATTTACGACATATGCCGAAGATCCCTTGATATCAAGAGGCCAACGTACACCCATTTGAACCGATTGGTTTAAAGCTGAGTATGGGATCATTTAAAGCTGGAAAAGGATGTCATGCACCATTCTCAAGAGGTAAATTATGTTTAAAAAAAATATTTGTGAAGTGCAGCACATGTGCTCCTTCATGCTCACCACGTGCATTCTGAAGGAATTGAGCAAAGTAATATTTTTTCTTTTAATGATATTGATTTGTCATCTCATCGGGTAAATAGTCCATCCAATGTTTCTTTGTTGTTATTATTATTTTTGTTAATATTCGACTTTGACAATAGTATTTGTTCACTTTTTTATTTTAGTCACTGATTTGGTATAAATGCTTAGAATTAATTATTGTTCAAGTCCTCCATTTTCTTGCTTATTTCATTTTATTATAATTTATTTATTTATTTTTATTTTTTTTCTTTTTATGCTTATGTTTTATTTATATTTATTTAACGCTTTGACCCATTTTTAGAATAAAGTCCAACCAATCAAAGGTAAGTAACTCGAATCGGATTTTTAAATTTAAATTTTTAATTTTTCGCAACTAAGACAACCGACAAATTAATTGGTACCGAAAGGGCGGTTCAAGGGTGCTAATCCTTCCTTGACCGTAACTGACTCCTGAACCCGACATATTTCTGGTAAAAACGCAGATCAAGTAAGACGGTGTCTGACCTACCTAAATTCGTTTTAAAGTGGTTGGTGGCGACTCCAATCCATATTTTTCAAGTCGAAGCCCAATTCCGGGGCCAAACCGAAAGACGGTTACGACAGCTTGGCGACTCCGCTGGGGACAGGTAAGTGAGTCAGGCCAAAATTAATTTTCAGTTGTCTTTTTATGCGAAAATTTTAAATTTAAATTTAAATTTTTTTATTCGATTCCAATTATTTATCTTTGATTATATTTTCGAGTAAATAGTTGTACTGACCGTTTTTTAATGATTTCAACCCTTAAAGATTTTTCGTCTAAAGGCTCTATACCCGAGCTCCGAACCCTATTTAAGTGGGGGTGAAAGCGACGCCTTCGTGTGAATTTATTCTCCGTATGGGCCTAGCAAGTAACCTTCGGGATTCATATACCTTATGCCTTCGTGTGAATTTATTCTCCGTATGGGTATAAGGGAATGTTTCCTCTCGAGTTTAACTTAGTCCACACAAGCTTGTGATGGGTTAAGGACTAAGGGTCTGGCAAGCCCAAGGGGGCGCCAGCAAGGAGAACTCGGGTACCGTTTCAAGAACCTAACCCGGGAGATGATGGAGAATTAGAGCCCTCCCCAAAACCTCATTTCCAAACCCTAGGCTGTTTTACTTCTTGCTTTATTTTCTATTCAAAACATGCGAACTAGACAAATATGCGGTTATGATTTGTTTGAAATTAGCATGCGTGATAGAGATCATGTCCATGTAGGAATAATAAACATGTGGGGTAGATATCATATGAGGTATGACTTTGATTTTCATGATTGTTTTTATTATTTTTACCTCACTAACAATTTTTTTTACTTTTTTCTCTTTTATTTTGTTTTCATCATTTGCATCATTTAAAAGAGGTGTTGATCCACTAAAATGTGTTTGTTAAAACTCAAATAATCCGCATTAATGGATAAAGGGGTTGTAATACAAGAGATAAAATGCAGAGGACAGTCTACAGGGCGACTATGTGTCACATTCAATCCAGAAGATGTGGTACCTGCAATCGAAGAATATGTCACTTTGCTACATTGTAAAGGACTCCGAATGGACCGGAATTTACACCGAGCACACTAAAGTCAAATTTTTGAGAGGCAAAGGTTGTAGGGGCAAGACGAGGAAAAAGTTACTGACTCGAAGATTCATTTCGAAAACTACGAGAACAAGATGAATTCCAGAAACAAGTCGATAAGCTTCGGATTGAGGACTTCAATGACACTTTCGTTAGAAACAAGCTCGACAAAGAGTGAAAGTTGGAGATGCAGTCATTCGAGACCTTTTTTAGGGCAAACAACTTGTCACTTGCACATTGTGGCCAAATGAGCCTGAACAGTTCAACAGGGTATTCAACCGATGATAGACGAAGGCAGAAAACTAGTCAACATGTCAGAAGCTGCCAGGATATTTTTTTCTCTTAAAAGATAAAACACTTTTGTCCCCAATAAGGATTATTCATAATAACAGACATGTTTTTGGATCAATGCCTCGAACATTTCATGCATTTTGCATCTACATTTCATTTTTAAGCATTTTCATGAAATTAAGTCATGGAGGATTCGATGAAGTGGATTTAACCACATGGAAACAAGATTGTAACTTTAAAGAAAAAACTGAAAACAATACAGTGAGAGCCTGATCAGCTGATTGTAGGACAAAGCCTGACAGGATGATCTAAGAAAAAAATCCACATATCCTAAGGGCTACGATGTTGAAGCTGTTAGTTGTTACCACATAAGAAGTCCCAAACATTCCTCTGAAAATTGTAAGGCGCTTGCCGAAGAATGGGGGCATGGCATATACTATTTGCACTTAGAGGATTGTTTTGTTTGAACACGTCTTCGATCTTTCATATTTGCTTAGTATTTTAAAGGATTGAATTTATGCTACTTTCTAAGGTGGAACAATTGAACAAATCTTAATCTTTAGTTCTTCGAATATTAAATGAATTAAAGATTATTTTAATTCTTCAAGAATTATAGATTTTTGACATATGACAAAATTAGACTTTTCTTATCCTGTCTATAAAATACCTCGATTCTTTACCCAAAATAACTCATGGTCATTACCAAAAAAACTAAATTTTGACATTACCTCCCTTTGAAATTCTTGAACATCACCTTTATCTTTTTGATACACTCATACCTTTCTTTGAGTCAATAAGATCACACCACTGTCTTTTTTAGACTCAAAAATAACCTTTCTTACCATTAAAACCCAAGGCATAGAGTTGTTCATTTTAACATGAGCATTCTTCTAAAGAACCAACTTGGGGCATCTCGCGGGGAGCCTGAACATTGAGACATCTGGGAAAAAAGAAGAAGAAGAATTTGAAATAATTCTATCATACATTAATTACACTGTTTTCATGTGAATATAATTAATCCTGAAAATCTATCCCCTTGGGGATACCTTTTCTGTGAGGACTTCCATGTATGAAATGATGAACGGCTTTATTTCTTTATCCCTTCACAACAGGAAAAAAATATATCCCTTGTGTCCCCTTTTGAGCCTGTAGTACTTTTCTTCTGATTCAACCCTAACCAAGGATCACCCTCCACACTGGGGGGCAAGGTGGAGAAAATCTGCTCGCATGAGTGAAGACATTGATTCAGATGAAAGGTGAACCAAACGCCAAGTGCGAAGATTCAATCAGAACAAAAAGGGCAAAAAGAAAAAAGAAAAGAAGCAAAAAAGAAGAAAAAAAAGAAAGACCAAAAATCAAAAAGAAAAAGGGACAAAAAAGCACATACAAAGATTCCCTAAAGACAAATGATACATCAAGCTTCAAACTATGATATTGATCAAGCACAATCATTCCCGAATCACTGAATCACTTTACTCAAAGATCATAGAGCATCAAGAGAGAGAAACATTTTGAGCAAGATTGAAGGCATCAGAATGAATTGATCCTTGGTTCAACCTCTGAAACACTTGTTTGGGCCTATTTATCCTTTTCTTTCATAACCATGAACTCTGGCCTACATTACGTGCCTTAAAAGTCCCTTCTAATCATACATGGATTTCTAAACAAAAGATAATATCTTCAGATTTCATCCCGCCCATCAGGATTAATCTTTGTTTACAAAAAACAATGTAACTAATGCATGGTAGAGGAAAATAACAAAGGGGGGTTCAAGACGTAAATCCTAAATAACGTCTTGAAACCAAAGGAGGATTCGAGTTGAAAACCTGAAAAGGCGGCTCGAATATAAAAATTGTGCAACTGAGGCGATCACACAAATTCCTTGATAAGGCATCGCACAATCCAAATATGACTATGAAAGCTGGGTGTCGGAGAACACTTCCAGTAGAGGAGCATGCAAGCTACCCCATCAAACCTTTGAGCATCAAATGACAAACCTTTGACCAAACACAATAACCTGAGACCTTTTATCCTTTCCTTACTTAACCATTTCCCAAGATAGCTTTGATCTTGGCACGTGTCAAATAGCTATAATTTATTGAAGGATTAACATTGTAATTAAACATTTGATATCCAATGAACTCTAGTTTTATGATTCGTCTCAATTGTAAAACGTGAAAGAATAATATTTCAAAACTTTTGATTAAACATTTTTCGAAACTCTTTATTGATATTTTCAGAACTTTGAAAATAAAAGAGAAAGAAAAACATTTTTTTTCAAACAATACAGTCTCTCTAGAGTGGATCTTGGTAAATGACATGTGACTCTTAAACACAAAACTCATGCTCAGAATCAATGCTGAAGCAAGAAATGAGGAACATTTGGGGCATCTTTGGAGATTCAACATCAAATATTGGGGCATTTTTGGATATTGGGGCATCATTTGGGGATTCAACATCCTAATGCAAATTATCAACTTTTAGAGTCAAGTTTTGACTTCAAGACGAAGGATACTCGATTCAAAATCACCTTTAAAGATTCATGTTGGTTGCTTAACTCAGCAGTAAGAAGCTACACTTTGACCAACTCGATAGATTGAAAGTTTCTCTCGAAACAACACAATTTGCTCGAGAGTGGATTTCAACTTCACGACGAAGGATATCTAGCTCGAAGCCAAACTTTACAATAAAGGGGTCTCCATGGTTTCAACTTCACGACGAAGGGAATTGTGTCCACCCGCAACATACAATACATGGATTTTAACTTCACGACGAAGGATATTCAAGTCAAGGCTCAACTTCACAACGAAGGATATTGGACTCCAGACAACGCAATTTCAACTTCACGACGAAGGGACCGCTGGTTGTCAATAAACAACTTCCTAATTTCAGAGCCAATTTCAACTTCACAGCGAAGGATATTGGACTCCAGACAACGCAAGTTCAACTTCACGATGAAGGGACCGCTGGTTGTCAACAAACAACTTCTCAATTTCAGAGCCAATTTTAACTTCACAACGAAGGATATTGGACTCCAGACAACGCAAGTTCAACTTCACGACGAAGGGACCGCTGGTTGTCAATAAACAATTTCCCAATTTCAGAGCCAATTTCAACTTCACAGCGAAGGATATTGGACTCCAGACAACGCAAGTTCAACTTCACGACGAAGGGACCGCTGGTTGTCAATAAACAACTTCCTAATTTCAGAGCCAATTTCAACTTCACAGCGAAGGATATTGGACTCCAGACAACGCAAGTTCAACTTCACGACGGGACCGCTGGTTGTCAACAAAAAACTTCTCAATTTCATAGCCAATTTCAACTTCACAACGAAAGATATTGGACTCCAGACAACGCAAGTTCAACTTCACGAAGAAGGGACCGCTGGCTGTCAATAAACAATTTCTCAATTTTAAAGCCAATTTCAACTTCACAGTGAAGGATATTGGACTCAAGACAACGCAAGTTCAACTTCACGACGAAGGGACCGCTGGTTGTCAATAAACAACTTCCCAATTTCAGAGCCAATTTCAACTTCACAGCGAAGGATATTGGACTCAAGACAACGCAAGTTCAACTTCACGACGAAGGGACCACTGGTTGTCAATAAACAACTTCCCAATTTCAGAGCCAATTTCAACTTCACAGCGAAGGATATTGGACTCCAGACAACGCAAGTTCAACTTCACGACGAAGGGACCGCTGGTTGTCAACAAACAACTTCTCAATTTCAGAGCCAATTTCAACTTCTCAGCGAAGGATCTTGGACCCAAGACAACACAAGATCAACTTCACGACGAAGGGGCGGCTGATTGTCAACAAAATTTTATTCAGAGTCAATTTCAACTTCACAACAAAAGGATATTAGACTCTAGACAGCACAAGCTCAACTTCACAGCAAAGGGGCGGCTGACTGTCAACAAATAATTTCCCAGTTCCAGAACCAATTTCAACTTCACGGCGGAGGATATTGGACTCGGAACAATACAACTTACTTGGATTTCAACTTCACGATGAAAGATATCCAATTCTTGGCTCAACTTCAGGGCGAAGGGGCCACCCACGGTTTCAACTTCACGACGAAGGGAATCGTACACACAAGCAACATCTATCTCTAGATTGGATTTCAACTTCACGGCGGAGGATATCCAAATCAGAGAAGGAGTGTCTGTCAATAAACTTTCCAGTTTCGAAGTTAATTTCAACTTCACAGCGAAGGATATTGGCCTCGAAACAACATACTAGATTTCAACTTCATGACGAAGGATATCCAATTCCAAGGCTCAACTTCACAACGAAGGGGCCATCCACAGTTTCAATCACGACGAAGGGAATCATGCTCATCATTGTCTCTCTTGAGACAGTTTACAAGTTTTGTCTCTCTTGAGACAGTTTCACTTGAAACAAAATCTTGTCTCTCTTGAGACAGTTTCCCTTGAAACAAAGTTTTGTCTCTCTTGAGACAGTTTCTCTTGAGAAAAAAACCTTTGAAAATGTTTCTCTTGAAACACCAAACTTTTGAGTTCGACTACGCTTAGCTCCAAGGCACATCATTTGCAGCATAGCTCAAGGCTAGAAGGGCTATCTGCCACCAAAAGACCTTCGAGTTCAATTACACTCAGCTCAAAAGCACATCATTTGCAGTATAGCTTAAATCGAGAAGGGCTATCTGCCACCATAAAACTTGTCGAGTTCGATTCCATTCTGCTCGATGACACATCAATCACACTACTGTCCGGTTGCAGTCGAGGTTTTCAAGTCGAGAAGAAGACATGGGTTAACTGTGCCTTAGTGACAAAAATGCTTTACGGCAGCATAGCTTAAGTTGAGGAAAGCTATCTGTCAATGAAGACCTTTCGAGTTCGATTTCATTCAGTTCGAGTTCGATTTCATTCAGCTCAAGGTATGTCAACCACATGGTGGAGTCAAAGATTTTCAGTCGAATTTTCCAACCAAGGTCTTCAAACCGAGAAGAAGACCGAAGTTGACTACAATTTGGCAATGAGAAGCCACAATCCGATTCAAATCCTGAATTACAACTTCAACTCCATATTATTTCAAGATGGACTCGACTTCGCAACGAAGGAGCCATCCGCAATTCAAATCGACAGAGAGTTATTCTTAAATATCAGAATCAATTTTCAACTCCACCGAACGAAATTTGTGTTCTTTTGTCTTTGTCCTATTTTTCGTTCCACGAAAAAGGACAAAGAGGGGCAGTTGTAGACACTTAATTTCGTCCGGCTACTATAATTATATAATTTGTATATATTATATTATATATATATATATTATTTCATTACATATTGCATCTCATTCTTTTTTTATTTTATTTTTTGCAGACTCAAAGCCACTATAACACTGGCCCACGATGGACCCATATCAGACCAAAAAATGGTCCAGCCCGAACCATTACGCGTAACCCTAACCCCAGTTTCCTCCAGCATCGCGTGCTTCATCCCAACTCAGTCAACTGTCGCTTTTCATGGCAACACGCACCATTCCCGGATTTCTCGGCAACACTAAACCAATTATCAACAAACAACAACGTTAGCCGAGTGTTTCACTCGAAATTAGAAACCTAAAAATAGGATGTTATTAAGTTATAAATAAGAGGGTGGTCTGGAACAACAAGGGGGGAGATACGAGGAACACCGAACAAGAAACGGTGACGAGATTCGAACCCAAAGGAGAAAAAACAAATCGAAAAGCAAGAGGGAAGCATTTCGAGGGAAGCATTTCGAGCGAAGCAAAAATCAACCATTCAGGAACCATTTTCCAGAAGAAAAATACAAGAGATAGGAAAAGCATTCGAAACTAAAAACCGACAAAAGAACCAGAGGTTACCTCGCTCTCAACTGGAACCGTGGCCACTAGCACCATTTCATCGGACCAGAAACCTATCGTTTTTTAAGGTCTCAATAGCAGTTGTGGAGCTTTACAATAGCATTCTTTCCACGTCGATGTGGTCGTGCTCTTGGACAATAAAGCGATTTACGACATATGCCGAAGATCCCTTGATATCAAGAGGCCAACGTACACCCATTTGAACCGATTGGTTTAAAGATGAGTATGGGATCATTTAAAGCTGGAAAAGGATGTCATGCACCAATCTCAAGAGGTAAATTATGTTTAAAAAAAAGATTTGTGAAGTGCAGCACATGTGCTCCTTCATGCTCACCACGTGCATTCTGAAGGAATTGAGCAAAGTAATATTTGTTCTTTTAATGATATTTATTTGTCATCTCATCGGGTAAATAGTCCATCCAATGTTTCTTTGTTGTTATTATTATTTTTGTTAATATTCGACTTTGACAATAGTATTTGTGCACTTTTTTATTTTAGTCACTGATTTAGTATAAATGCTTAGAATTAATTATTGTTCAAGTCCTCCATGTTCTTGCTTATTTCATTTTATTATAATTTATTTATTTATTTTTATTATTTTTTTCTTTTTATGCTTATGTTTTATTTATTTTTATCTAACGCTTTGACCCATTTTTAGAATAAAGTCCAACCAATCAAAGGTATGTAACTCGAATCGGATTTTTAAATTTAAATTTTTAATTTTTCGCAACTAAGACAACCGACAAATTAATTGGTACCGAAAGGGCGGTTCAAGGGTGCTAATCCTTCCTTGACCGTAACTGACTCCCGAACCCGACATATTTCTGGTAAAAACGCAGATCAAGTAAGACGGTGTCTGACCTACCTAAATTCGTTTTAAAGTGGTCGGTGGCGACTCCAATCCATATTTTTCAAGTCGAAGCCCAATTCCGGACCAAACCGAAAGACGGTTACGACACTTATAAACTGGAGTTGGTGGTGGAAAGTACACAGGAGGAGGAGGAGGCGGTGAGTTGTAGTAGTAGTGTGGTGGTGGGTGCTTCTTAGGAGGTGGTGGAGGAGGAGATGAATAAGGGTAATTTGCTGTGGTTCCACTAGGCAAACTGAGAGACACGAGCACTAACAGAGTGCCAAAGTGAGAAGCTATTGATGACCCCATATTTTACTACAAATACTGGGTTTTGTTTATGCTCTCAGCCAACCTCACCACTTCCTTATATAGATGTTGCTTTTACATAATGTAATCATGGTAAATTCCACTTAAAAGTTACTTTATTTTAACCTTTGTCAATGTCAAGCGCCATTGACAAAATAAATATATTAAAAAACAAGTTGCAAATTGTTAGGTTTGAAGGTTTTCATTTTCATGCACATTACGACAAATTAGGGACAGTTTCCGATTGTTGAAAACTATAATTTCATTCTTATTTCAAGATAAAAGAATACTTAACCTTACAATATATTGATTTACAGAGGCTGCATTTTACAATGTTGAAAAATTACTTTTCAAGTCATTAATAAATACTGTTATTTCTGTAAGTGACTGATGTCAAACAATTTCCCCAAATCTATGTAAAGCTTAGGAGACTTTTCTTTCCCCTTTTTTGCTCATCAAAAAACGATACGTGGATGCTGGCCATTTTGTCACGGAGCAAACATCAGTAGTCATCAACTCATACTTTTACTCTTCGCCTCTCTCGATCAAGTTTTAATCACTTTATTTTTTTTAAAATCATACTTAATATTATGTTTTAATTTCATTTTGATCATTTACTATTAAAAAAATTAACATAACTATTAACATGATTTTTTTGAAAAATTTCAATGATGATGTGATATTATTTTAGAGTGACTTAACTTGATTTTTTTCCAAGTCGAATCAAGTTTAAAAAATTAGAGTCAAGTTGTTCAAGTTTCTATACAAATTTAATTGTAATTATTTGTAGTATTATAGTACGGATTTAATCCAGTTTTTGACTTTCTCTCTATATATATTTCTTCATATTCTTTTCGTATTACAATGTTATTTAATATATCACATACAATCTAAAATTATAAAATATATTTATAATATTATATTTCAAAAAAGGTATTTTTGAGGATAAAAGATTATTGGGAGTATAAAGGAGTCAAAGAATTGATGTGAAGAAAGAATTTGTAGATAAATATACTAAATTAAGTAAAATGTAAAGTTAAAGTACTAAATTGAGTAAAATGTAAAGTTAAAGGACTAAATTAAAAAAATGTCATTTTTAGTATAAACAAAATAAGAATTGAAGTTACATAGGTATTCTATAGTGGTAGGAGAACATGTCTTTTAAATTTGGTAAAAAATGAATGGTGAATTGAAGAAATACAACAATCATGCAAAATTGAAGAAATACAACAATCATGCAAAATTGAAGGAATAAATAAAAAAATAAAAAAATAGTTATCAAAATTGGAATTGAAAGTACATATGTATTCTATGATGGTTTAGTAGCAAGTGGTTCAAATTTGTTGAAAATTTGACCTAAAATGGAGGAATGGAATGAATAGGAAATCAGGGACCAAATCGCAAATCTTTCAAAATAATCATCCAAATTTTCGATTTCTCGACTTAATCGAAATTTTAAAATTTCAACTAGACTCGAACTCGAAAACCAAATTGATAATTCGAGTTGACTCGAATAACTTGAAATTGAAAAAACAATTCAATTTTTTTAGTCGAGTTTTACTCACGCCTACTTAAAAGGAATTCTTGCATGGGCTTTGGCTATAGAGAGATGAAGTTAGGCTGAACTACATTCCTTCCCAAAATCAAATGTAATTATATATAGTTTGTTAATGGCTATTGTTCCATCCCTCCACTATGGAATTTAGGTCCTTTTGAAATTTAATAACTTGTTTACTCAAAAACAGGAGAAAAGAAAACGAAACATCAAAGATTAGGTGATTTTATCGTAGCTGCTGATTTGGTGTGATGACAATGATGGGTTTAGAATCCATTATTTGTGAAAATCAGACTAGGTTCATATAATATCCTCTATACCGAGTTAGTGACTAAATTGGAAAGTTATAAAATTTGGTGATTTAAAGTATAATAATTGAATAGTATTGCATTTTGGTATAGGATTAAATTGCAAGGAAGATGGAATTGGAGGATAGAATGGCCATTGCAGGGAAAATAATTAAATTTGGTTATATATATGGAGGCCACGTGTAGGAGAGGAAGAAAATATTCAAGCTTCCAGACTTCTCTTCTCCTCCTTTCTTCTCTGTACGTGTGAGCCAAGGTAGGGGTAAGAATTTTTATTAGTTGGTTATTAGCTGAGATTTAAGTTTGGTTTTGATCCTTAGATGCTAATTAAGCTTAAGGAAAGTTTAATTTGCTTCAAAACAACAAGATGAAAGGGTTAGGAAGAATTAAAGATTATAAGTCCTTGAATGGAATTTTGAAATAGAGTTCATAATTAGAATTGGAGGTTGAATTTGACTTGTCATCGACTTAATTAAGATATACGAAGTGTTAGAATTAGATTTAGAACTTGTTAGAATTTGAGTGAGATTCTTGAATTCTATGTGGAGGAATGGAGTTTTAAGTTTAAGAGGTATTGAAAGATAATAATTAGTTTAAGTAGGTGTAAGCAAGTTAGAGACATAAAAGGAGGTGAAATAGGAAGTGTTGAGAGGATTATTAAGGGATTTTCGTGCTCAAAGTAACAATTCTGGGCTGTGTGCATCGGTACACATTCAATGTGTACCGATGCAGTCTCAAATAAATGAACATCGAATATTAGTGCATCGATGCACCCCCTTAAAATACAAACATCAAATGGGATTTGTGTACCAATGCATAGCTAGTGCATCGATGCACACGTTAAAGAATGCATCGATACACTGTAGAGTGCTTCGATGCATACCTTCATTAAAAGATAAAAATAGCTTTCTTTTTAGCCTAAGGAGTGATAGTTTAGAATATATCAATTAGTATACTGATATGTATCCATGTATTACTATAGATATAGAATGTAATCTTGTTCCGGAACAATCGAAGGATTAGAATCGAGTCAAAGTAAGCAAGGATAAGGTGAGTGCATATCCTAGATAGAATTGTATTGAGATAAGACTTGTGATAAGTCTATCTCTTATAATTGAATTTATGATTTCATATTCATGCACATGCATACATATATATGTGTTAATGTTATAGTGATTCCATGCATAATTCATTCATGATTTAACATGATATTGTATGAACAAGTGCCATTATCAGAGAATCCTCCCAGGTATGTGAAATAATGAAAATGATCATGTGAAGTGACTTATGTGTTTATATGGACAGTGATAAAAGAGATATGAAATGAAAAATGTATTTATAATTAAGCCCATGTTATTTAATGTGAGAGTTGTAGGTATAATTGGCATGCCAAGAGTCGAGGGATTATCAGTGGTCCTTCGGGACATAGTGGTCCTTCGGGACAAATATTCAGTGCCCCTAGTGGGATTTTATTCGAGCTGTGGTGACAGCATTGTGCACAACTCAGTGTACTCGCGTACCTTCTGTTCTCAATAATGTACATGGGCATCCAAAGATAAATTAAAGGAAATTCTTATGAAATATAATTGGTTATTCATGCATATACTACTCATATGTCATAATGTGGTATTTACATATGCATCGCAATGTCCTAGTGGATTGATAGAAATTTATGTTCGTGATATTATTGTTATATGTTTATTTATGCCTCACTAAGTCTGTGACTTAGCGTGTAAGTTATTTACACGTAGGTACCAAGAATCTAGAAGAGCATAAATAGGGGTGGCAGGATCAGTATCATTACTAGAAGATCAGATCAGAAGTAACTGATAAAGTATGTATTTTGTCGGGTATAGTGTTGGCATGTAATAAAAGTGTCAGTTATGAATGCTCTAATCAATTTTGGTTGTTTTGGTCAATTCATGTAAATAAACCACTTTTATTTTAATGAAAGTTTTAAATTTTCCTTGAATTTTGTCTAGAGTCAAAGTTTGAAAAGTCAATGTGACACCTCAGACTCGTAATCGAGTCAGATACGAGTTGAGGGTGTTACATTTAATGTTATCAGAGCTACGGTTTAGTCGATTCTTGGCATAAACTGGAGTCTAGAGTGTCCTATAAAGTATACATGCTAACAAAATAGTGAAAAATTTCGATCTCATATAATAGTAAGTATGCTATTTTGCTAATAGAACGATATGGTTAATTTTTATAGATGTCTAGACACGGTAGTTCTAGAAGTGAAGCAGGAGATGACATGCCCACTAAAAGTAGTAATTCACCTGCCCTGGCCAGGCAGAGTGAAGATCAGGCACCCTCTGGAGTGCCTGTGAGTGATCAAGATGTGTTCTTTAGAACACTGGACGCAGTATTGCCGCTTTTCCAACCTTCTGTTACTTCAACTCCGAGATTGAATGTTGCGAATGAGTTGAAGGGTTTATGAGCACCAGAGTTTGCCGAAGAAGGTCCTGTTGCTGCGGACATTTGGCTTAATGATGTAAAAATCATGTTGGAGGGACTTCATTGCTCCGATTCAGAGAAGTTAGATGGGGTGGTTGACTTACTTAGAGGGGGTGGACAAATGTTACACTGAGAATGACTAGTGATCAGGTAACATAGTCCTTATTTCTAGAGGAATTTAAACATAAATACATCGGAGATCAGTTTATCCGACAGATGAAGCAAGATTTCATGAATTTGAAGCAATAGAATCATACAGTGTATGAGTACAAATGTGAATTCAACAAGTTGAGCGGATTCGCTGCGGAGTTAATTCCTACAGAGAATGATGATTGCGAGTGGTTTGTTGAGGGATTGCGTCCTCATTTGAAAGAGATGCTTATTGTGTTTAATTTATCTTTGTTTCAAGAAGTGGTGAACCATGCTAAAGCTCTAGAAAGAGCTCATAATAAAAGGTTCAGAGATTCTCGGGCTCAAACATCAAAGAGATCGGGTGCATCATCGAGTGTTGTACCATAAAAAAGAGGTCGAGATGCTGGTCCTCGACCTCAGCCTAGATCAGAGTCAGTGGCATCCTCCGCGAGGGGATCAAATCCTATGAGGGGACGATAAACTCAGTAAGTGGGATCCGGAGCGGTGAGATCTAACCCGAGCCAAGTCAGGCATTGTCCACATTGTGGAAAGAGTCACTC